CTGACATGCACCGGTATAGGGATAAGAACGCTGACTTGGGAAAGCAGAACTATTCCAGGAAACCCAGGAAGTCTGGCTGAATCACAGCTGGGAACATGTGTGCTTGTATTTCAGTAAAGTCTGCTTTTTATTTAGCCAAGAAAAGGACAGTTCACAGAGAAGTCACAGGTTGATCAAGTGTGACCAGAATCTCCACTGGGGAATCAGCAAATTGTGAGTCCTGTACAAAATATGTGTGTCTGTAATAAGAGCACCCTTTGCTACTATGAACAAAGTAGTATAATAGTCACTTCTGCTCAGAAAAGTACTTCTTTGAGTTGACAATCATGGGTCAAAACCATGAATCCCTCACAGAACTCTGGGATTTACCACTAATAGGAAGGGAAGTGGTTAGAAGAGGTAGGGAAGTTCCAGGGAGCCCAGGACAAGAAGGCCGGATTCTTAGATTTGCACAGAAATTAATACCAGCTCGGAAACATATTCAATCAGAATGGCCCAAGGATATTTAAAATATGAGATACGAACTGCTTATTTTCTGGATGACTCACCATCTAATTTCTCCAGAGCCTTCTTGCAACAATTTCAGAAAAAGTAAAAGGAAATTCTTTTCCCTTGCATTGTGATGTTTTGGTGGAAACAGTTAAAATTGTGACATTTTTGAAACCTCTGGAGAGAAGAAACTCACAGGCAAAATATCTATACACATACATAATCCTAGAGAAAAAGTCTCCCCTGGCCCATGCTCTTTTCTTTCCAGGACTAGGGATTGAATCCAGAGCCTCTAGTTTGTTAGGCACATGCTTTACTAACCAAGGTACATCCACAGCACTTTAGAACATTTTTGAGAGACAGGGTCTTTTTATTTTGCTCGGGCTGATCTTGAATGTGTAAAGCTCCTGCCTCAAACTCCCGAGTAGCAAGAATCCTAAGTGTGTGCCACTGTGCCTGGCTCCTGTCTTTTTTATTTTTTGACTCAAACATGTAAATTATTGCATAAAACATTCATATGTGTAGAATATTTCAGTTTGTGTCTACCTGACCATTTCCCACACATGCAACATCCTACTGAAATATATATTCTGGGAAGTTTTCTAGATTGATAAGAACATATTTGCCTTTGTTACATTGACTTTATTCCAACACCTTTTTTTGTTTTACATTTTTCGGACGTGGATATTTACGCTTATTTTGCCCCATAAGCATATGGCTATGATTTGAGAGTAATAAATACTGATAAAAGGCAAAAGGCTTTTTGAGGAAGTCTAATAATACAATGGGTGGGTAATGTTCTCTCTGTTGCTGGATGCTTGTAGAAGACCAACCACGGCCTTGAAAATGCTAGCTGTATTTACTGATTACTGTAAGTCGTGTACAATGAGAGGTGGTTTATGTCAGAGAGGAACTAGAGGCAGCTGGCACCATCTGGACGGGGCTGATTTTGCACATTTCTTCTTAGCCTCAGATTCAGCAGTGTCACCTTGGTAGCTTCAAATGGGCCATGGTGGGAGTACATGCACCATGGGCATCAGCAAATGATGAGATCAAGGTTTTTTTTGTGTTTTATCCAATCCACCAAGTCAATTTATTGGTGCTGTCAAATCAAGGATTCTTTTAAGATTTCCACATCTATTTCTCACAGGCTTATGCTTCCTCTATATTCCTCAATATATAGAATGCATTTGTAATACCTGTTTTATTTGTATTTGTTTACTAATTCTATGGTCAGAGGTTAGCTAGCTGTGGATAGAATGTAGTGTGCAGTCTGTTTTTATGTGGTCCATGAGTTAAAAATGTCTTTACCTGCATGGTAGAAAATAGACATCAGCCAAGAGGAAAATTCATATAACAAATGTGAGACACCACTTCATAGTTACTAGGATGAATATAATAAAAAAGACTGAAAATAACAAGTGTTGGTGAAAATGTGGAGAATTTGGAACCTTCATACTCTATTGGTGAGAATGGTACAGCAGCTTTGGAAAAACCAGTTTGCACTTCCTGTAGAGGTTAAACCACAGAGTTGCCCTATGACCCTGTGTCAAAGACCAGAGGTGAGCTGAGGAATAGCTGGCCTCCTCTGTGAGCACAGAGGAGAAAGGCTGCATTCAGGGGTGATTGCATTTTGCAAGTTCTAACTTAAAACAGCTGAGGTTAAGTTGTTTACCAGAATATCAACACATGGATTTTGCAAAGCAGTTGCAGCTTGTGTTACTTTGACTGCTTGTGCCCTCCTTGTTTGGGTGAATAAAGGCAAGATGAGTGAGACAGACAGTAGGTGCTCCTCTGCCTCCTGGAGGTAGGAGCCACCTAGTTGCCTAGATGTTAAACTGACTCCATGTCTCTTTGTCATTTGTCCTCATCCTCCTTCACTCCCCAGGTCAGAGAGAACATAACAGTGAAAGTCCAGGTCTTGAAACAAGGCCGGCTGAGTAGATCAGCTACAGGTGGCTCAGGACCCAGGTAAGTCTATTTCCAGGTGTACATGCAAGAAAAACAAAATGTAAGATGAAACATATGTTCATAGCAGTATTTTAATAATCATAATTATTTATAAAATGTGCAAGCAACCTAATGTCTACTGGGTGATATTCTTTAGTAATATGAAGGTGTGGTACATGCTGTATTGGAAACGTTATCCAAGAGAAAGAAGCCAGTCGGAAAGAGCCATGTATTATATGATTCCATTCATATGACATATTCTGAACAGGCTAGTCCAGGAATCAGAAAGTAGAATGATTGTTGCTAGGGATGCATAAATCACCACATTCTAAAAGCATTTTTATATGGCTGAAAAGTACTTGTTAGGAATGTGTCAGGGAGTGGCTGCTAATGTGTACAGGTTTCTTTTGAGAGTGTTTGTAATGGTTTGGACCTAAAATATCCCCCAAAGTCGCATGCTCACAGTTCGGTCTTGTGTATGGTGGTTGGATTATGAGGTGCTATACTCACCAGTGGATTCGTTCACTAATGAATTCAGTAGTTAACTAAGTGTGCAGTTAAGAGGTACAGCCTCTTGATGAAGGTACAGCCTGGAAGACTGTACCCATTTCCTGGATCCTCCTTTCTCTCTGTGTTTCTCGGCTTCCATGAGTAAACCAGCTTTCCAGTGCCAATACCCCTCTCTAGCAGGCCAATTTCTGCCTTGCAGCCAAACAACTATGGACTGGATCCTCCAAAACAGGAGGTTAAAAGATGTCAGGTCCTTTGTCCTTGTGATAGGAAAGTGACTAATACAGTAACGAAAATGTTTCAGAATTTATTGTGGTGATAGACATACAACTCTGTAAATATACTAAGAAAACACTGAATTTACCTTAAAAATATAAATTTGTATGATATCTCAATAAAATGTTATTTTAAAAAGTGTGGTTCCTACACTTTGGGATTTCACAAATCAGTAGAGCATTGCTGAAATAAAATTCAGGAATCTATTGTGATTGCTTGTTTGTTTTTGGTAATTAAGAGCATTTAATGGCTAGTTATGGTACAATTTCCTAAATGAAAGGGAATTTCTAATGCCTACAGATTAATCATGAATCAAGAACTCTTCTTTAACTGCAATGTAGCTTCATTTTTAAAAGCATTATATAATTTTCATATGTTATTACCATGATTTATAACACAGAATGTTTTAAAAGCATTTTTATGTGGCTGAAAAATACATGTTAGTACTTTTTAAATTGTTATAAAGGATTCAAGTACAGAAATAGTTGACATAGAAGTTCTGTAAACCTTGAATTTTACAGTCATGTAAATAGGTTATTACTTTTTATATATGTGTTTTAATAATTGATCCATTGATAGCAATATAAATTTTAAAATCTTAGTTGATAAAAACTTTATTTGAAACACGTAAAGAACTATGTACTTCAAAACTGCAAAAATAAAATACAATTTATGGTAATTTAAAAATAAAGACTGTCTAAAAACATACTATCAATCTACTATTTTAAATACAATCTCAAATTCAAAGCTAATCATTGAATTTCTGTATTTTGTAACATCTAAATTTCCTTTACTTCTGTACCCAAGTACACTGTTATGCAAATGTTGCAGCTCTATCGCTTAAAAATATAACCTGTGTCATTTCTGACAAGCAAAAATATGTACTGTTGTTCACTTCTTGTACATCCAAATAGTTCAGATGACTACAATCTAATTTTCAGTAATAAAAACTCACATTAGTAAAACATTTCTTTTGCAAACAATGGATTAGCATTCTGAATTGAGCTACACAAGGACCTATTCCTACCTGAAGCCTCTCAAGATTATCCCATGTATTTATGTAGTCAAAATGGTTTTCACCAGGTATTAGTCGGGACACACACTATCTACGTGCTGGGAAATAGCCAGATTAACTTCAGTTTACACAAGGAGAATCAGGACACAAGGGGAAATCTCACCAGGGCCAGAGTGAGACCTAATTAGCTTCTGGATTCTTGTAGGAATGTTTCTTCCAGCAGAGAACATTAATTTGTTTAATGATAACTGGAGTAAAAGTATTAGGATTTGTTATGGGAGAATTAATTTTTACCCTGTAAGCAGAAAGTTCAAGAAATGGAAAACGTAGAGATTTTAGTGTGAAAAGGGTTAAAAAAGAGAAAGTTAAAACCAGAATACTCTTCAGACAGAGATCACTTCTCAGAAGTAAAAATAGCAAAACAAGAATAGAAAAAAAGAGGTATAAAGTTTCTCATTTTAAACCAAGGGGATTTTATAAAATCACTTAAAAAGAAGGGTCTCTCTTGAACATAACCCTTAAATATCCCCCCCCCCCATAAACCCCTATGGTATAGAGAGCACTAACTTACAGGAAGAAAACTGAGAAGTAAAGAAGTAAAGAGGTTAAGACCACATAAAGAGTGAATAGGCTGGAACAGATGCTATGTCTTAAAACACTGGCTTAGAAATAGAAACAGAAGGTAGAGGATAAACAGGACCTTTTATGGATGGACAAGTGCAATAATCCAAGGATGTGGTAGCAATACCAGCTACTTGGCTTTTTTTTTTTTTTCCTGACAAAAGACTTGGAATTTCAAGTATACACTGAAACCGAAGATGACAAACACACATCTGAGTTTTGAAATGCTCAGCTGAAAAGAATATATGAAATAAATTCTTGCAAGATTATGTGGAAGAAAGCACAGATGTAAGGGAAGTACAAAATGGACAAGAGTAGGCATTTAGTTCAAACTGCTGTTGCCTCTAGTTAATATATCCCACTGAGGCATCAATAAGACAGCAGAGAGGAATTTAATTTAGCCTGATCAATATGCTAGGGTAGATTAAAAAATAACTCATCATTATCAGAAAGGGTATTGGAAAACAAAACAAAGGTGCCCATTCACTCAGAAAATCATATGCAACTCAGGGCTTCACAGTTCCACCATGAGTTATTAAGAAAAATTAACCTCTGGAGGAGAGACATAAAACATTTCTTCATGGCTGTCAGACACGTATGTATCAGGAGCAGCCATAGTTCTAGTCAGTGTAGCAAATCTGATGTCCTGGATTCTCACGAAGGCTTCCCCTCAAGGTTGCCTCTAATTGACTTTCACTATTAAGTCTCATGCTATGGCAATAAATATGACCAGCATAAGTCATAATACAAGGATCCTGCTGGGCCATAGGGGATGGACCATAGAAACTTTAAATGGTAGTTCTGGGGAAAAAAAAAACTATGAGAGCAACTGCCCACCCCCTTATATAAAGCAAAAGATGAAATACCTGAGGGCTGCATTTGGATTTTTGAAGTGTCTTGGATGGCAACTGTAATTTAAAAGTAACTGTACATCCAGGTAACTGTATCTCCTTGGATCCAACTGACATGCCTTCTATGTAACTCCTGTGCATGCAGCAACTGTGAACAGCAACGCTATACAATGGGAGGACTTAGAGGAGAGCACCCTGCTTATTGCCTATTCATGGACTTGTTGCTTTCCATACAGTTACATGGTACTGATATTCAGAACATCTGTTCTTCTGAAACTCCGGTATGTAACTCTAGACCTTTCAGCTAGAGGACAGGAATGTAACTAATATTTTCTGATGTAGGGAGGTATGTCATTTGATATAGATCAAAGCCTTAGCCTCCAAACACTGGGATATTCTGATTGTGATCAATGGGATGGATTTAGTCATGAGCAGTGGACTAAAGAATGCTTTTTATTTGTCATAAATAGTTTCCTTTCTCCCTGAGATTCAGAGGGAACTTCTATAGTGTGGTCCCAGATGATAATTTATGACAGAGAGATGTTTAGTGTCTTCTAAATTTTTGAAAATATTATTTTATTCTAGTCTTCTCAACAAGCTACAATCAAGCTGAAACTTAGTACAGCAGAACAACTAATACAACAACTGACACACAGCAAGAATACACGTAATGGTTTACAAATTTAAGCTGGGAAGGTAAACTTTAAGATATGCTATCGCTTGATCACTTTTACACACATACACACACCCTAATAAGAAGAGCTCTCCCTGGGGATTCATGCCAGTAACATTCTATTCAGCAAGCTGCTGCCTTTAGAGCAAGAAATAGTTCCACCTCACCCAAGTGTTAAGAGTGGGAAAAACCTGAGAAATTCTTTAACATGTTACAGTTGCATAATTCCTTAAATTATTCTGAATTTTGTTAATCCATCTGTATACATACCTGAGGGGTGGTTGGTTAACCTGTGAAGTACCCTATGCAGAATACACCCTTGGAGAGCTGTCGCCTTTGAAAAGCTCTGGTCACTTCAGAGGCTGTTACCCTGAAACTTTTATCTGTAGCTCAACACCAAAGACTTTGCTAATAAGTAAATGTTTTCAGTGGTCAATAGTGATGTTAAAGGTATGTGTACTGGCCCTAATAGGGTAGGACACTCCAGCCCTTGTATGAATGAGCCCAATGGACCCAGGATTCCTTTCATTCAGTGTAGAAGTCAAATAGTCAATTGGTTGTCTGAATCTGCTTAAATATTATTGGACTCACTGCTATTAAAACTCTTAGGTAGGATGTTGCTTCAATGTGTAGGAGGATAGGACAGAGTTGGGATGTTTTCAAGCTTATAGGACAGGTTGGATGGCTGTTCTGGTGCTTGCCTGCTTAGAAACTTGCATGACCCAGTGCTTGGTCTAAGACCTGTGTTCAGTGCAGAATGTTACCTGGTGAGGGTAAGAGAAGACATATGCCCTCACATATCTTTATCTACAGAGGACTACTCAATCTAGCAGTTGTAAATGTTCGAATTCCATACATTTTAAGAGGTGTCACAAGATTGGCCCAGTCATAAAATTAGTTTCTAGTTTACCAGGGATGCAAGTTCTTGTGTCTTCTATAAGGTCTATAAATGACCTGTGATAAAGGGAGGGCTTGCCAGTGAAGCACAGGGACAAGAGCAGCACAAAGATAGTGACCCTGCTATGTCTACTTCCCATGCTCCTGCTTTTCTCTTGGCTTTCTACCCAAGACACCTTTCTTTATAGCTGTCTACTTTACAAGTGTTATCACCCCTGCGAGTTCGGTAAAGGTGAGACAAACAGCAACGGGTACTGTATATCAGGGAACTAAACTGAGGAAGGTCTGGTAGAGATGTTTCTGTCCAATGAAACTGAAGCAAGTGGGGAAGAGTGGTTTTGATTATTTGGGTGGTTGTTTTTGTAATGATGGTTAATATAATGTAGGTGAGTCTTCTGTAAATTTAGAGGAGGTCAAACACTAAAAATGAGCATATGCATTTGCTTTCATTTTTAAAACTTAAGGTTGCTTTTTTTCATATACCCTTTTATGTCTTTGCTTTAAAATAAAGCAAATAAAAACTAAAATAAAATAAAGGAAATCAAGGCAATTCTATATTCCCTAAAATCAAAAGCAGATTTGAAAGACGTAGCAACTGACCAATGGTGAGCATGACTTATCGTTGCATGTTGTGAGGGGCTCCTGGAAACAGGACAAAGTAGGAGTGAGATGATATGTGAAGGGTGCTTTCTCTAGAATTTTGTCCATACTATCCACTCGATAATGTAAACTGTTACTAGTAGTAATTTGTAAAATGAGAGTAATCACCGGTCATAGCACCATACATTTTCAGACTTAAAAGGATGAGATTCAGATAAGAGGCTTTCCATATGACACATATTCATTATAAAAGGAATATCTTGCCATCTGCACTCAGCTGTACCCAAAGTAAGTCAAACTGCAATTTTCACATTGCTTCCTGGTTCTCCCCCAGGGACACTACAGTCCTCTAAATGCTGGCAAGGGCACTGGAAATTTAGCTTTGACATGCAACAGTAAGAGAGTCACAGGCACTTGTCAACTTAAAGAGAACTTACAATTTCTCATCTATTATCACTTTGTTTAATTCCCACACTTCCGAGAGGCTGGCAGGAAAGGTATTATAATCTCTGCTTTACGGATGGGGACAACTGATACCTTAGATAGGTTAAGTGAATTGCCTAAGCTTCTATGGCTAGAAAGGGGCAAAGCCAGGAGTTGAACCTGTTCTTTTGATTGCTGGCATAATGGTATTTTGTCTGCACCACAGGGACTAGGAAGCTTGAAAGTAGGATCTTTTGTACATGAAGAATAGCACCAGCAAACCGGCACAGGACAGGGAAAGACTAAACAATCACAAACAAAACTGTGAATTTTACACTGCTACAAAGGAGGACTTAGGAAATCATTTTCAATAGAAGGATGAAGACCTATCCTGTTCCTATGAGTAAGACCACAGAAAATAATGAGGGGACTGGTTCATTTAGTTTACGGCGTATTTTTAATCACTATTATTTTTATGTTATAGAGAAACCTAGCACAGGTAAGAATTTCATATTATGTGCTCCCAAAGAGCACAGACTTCTTTAAATTTGGAACATGTAAGAAGGCCAGTCAAAGGGTGAATCCTCATAGAAAATAGAACCCTGCTGGGTTAGATTCCTAACCCACTTGTCAGGTCAGTCCTAGCTGGTGCAGACATTTTGGGTCAGTGTGGTGTGCAGTCCTGGGGATGGACTGCATATAAAATAGGCAATAAAGGCTGTGTTTAAGATGAGTGTGCTCCCCTTTTCCTTGGAATCCAAGGCTGCAACCAAAAGCAGTACATGCTACAGCGATTTCTTTTTTTTTCTGTTTGGGTTTTAGTAAACCAGTTATGGAAAGAGTATCTAATATCAGCTGTGAATCATATACTTCAGCCTACCTCACTAAGCTGTAAAAGTCTAACTTCAAAATTAAAACAGCATTGGCAAGTAGTCTACACTCCAAATTTAGAGGTCTACAGGCTAATTTTGGATGGCATTTTTTTTGGTTGAGGGGCTGGCTAATCAAATCTTTTTAAAGCTCCTCTTTATTTAACAAGGTTTTTAGAGAGAACAGATGGTGAGCACAAGGACTAGCTATTATATGATCCATGCAAAGGGCCAATGGCTCTAAAATCTACCAGTTTGTTCAAGAAATATTATAGCCAACACATAAAGACAATATTAAACTTACTTGCTGCATGAGAGGTGTCTACATCCTAAAATTCCTTTTCTATAACGAAACCAAGAAATGACAGTAGACAGTGGATTTCTCACAGGGCTATCAGAACTGGGACAAAGGGCTCCTGAAATTTTGTGCTTCCAAATCCCTTCCTGTGGTGCAAATGAAGACATCTCTACTCTCCCAGTGTCCAGTGTGGTTTTGTCAAGCTGATTCAACAACCTACTTCCCAGTAGTACACTCAACACCATCCGGAATGTAGGACATTTTAAAGCTTTCTAGAGGCGATACACCACTGTATCCTCTCCATAACATCCAGAATTTATGAGATACTTTGCTGCTAAGGAGAGCTCTGACCATAGTGATTTTTATTAGTGGAGAAATATTTCAGATTCTTATACGTTCAGTTACACTAGCTCAGTGATGGCATTTCAAGTAATAAAGTTGACTATCTTTTTTTCTACAAAGGGCAGTAAACTCTTACTCTGAGGTAGCACAGGGATTCATCAGAGGGTCATTAGAATTTACCCTTTGATACTCTACAGCTATTGTCTTCAAAAATTGCTTATCACCTAGCCAAAGCATTGAGATGAAATTGAAACACGCTTTTCCCAGAACTGTTGTTCACCCAAATTATGGCGGAGAGTGTATTACTATTGTGGAATAACATTTAGAGTTTGTCTTACAAAGCATGGGAAGTAGAAAAACAAATAAGATCTAAAGTCAGCACAACATGAATCCTAACTTGTCTTTGGCATCTCATTAGAAATCTATGTTAATATTCTTTCCCCTTGCACTGTAGCTTGGAAACATGTCCTATTCCATTTATCTCAGTGCTTATGCTATCTTTCTTAATACATGAGAAGCTTGTAGGTTTTTTTTAAAATCTGTGATACACCACATCTTCCAGAATGCACAATAAAATTACACTTTTTTTAAGATGTGAGGGAGAGTGACTGCCATTAGCATGTGTACCTGAGATCCTCTGTCTCTGCTCACCCCACTGTAATTAGTACAGTCAATTTTGGTGATGAAAGTTGACAAAGGGATATGAGAACTCTCAAGCAGATGTTTGCAGACATCGATGTGTTGTGGGATATACTGTGTTACTTGTTTTTCGGCATCTCTTCACTCTTGTTGACCAAAGTAAGGAAAGAAGAATATAGGACATGTGATTTTAGCATACACTGCATATTGAAATAGCTTTTTAAAAGACTTTTCAAATTTTCCACCTTGCTTTTAAGAGCAGGACTTATTTCATGGTGATTTTCCAGTAGTCTTTTCTGAGGTAGATAAAACATGGAAGATAAGTAGTCTGAAGAACACAGAAGGGTGGCTAAAGCTTGTGTAGATTGAGATTAGTTTGAAAGAAATTTCAGAAGTGGCAGCTGAGCTTGCTCTAGAGAAGGGAGGGAAAGGGCTACACACCATTCAGGCAGGGCTTTTAGAACTTAGTAAGTAGGACACAGGTGAATCTGCAGATAAACAACAGGGTTGTAGAACAATGACAGAGCAAGAGCTGAACCTGGATTCCACACAGCTGGTTATGAGGGGGCAGTAAACAGGAGGGATGGTGGATCCCTCAGGACCTTATAAAAAGCAACCCACAGCTTTGACAGTTTAAAATGATTTTTGTTGTCGTTCTGGATAAAAAGCCAATTTTGTCTCTTTTCTTGGACCTCTATTTGTACAAAGGTATTGTAATTATATTCTGCAAGTCAGGGAAATCTAAATTCTAGCTAAACAACGATTGAAATGGATTTGGAACTCATTTTTCTACCCGTTTGAATTACAGAGGAACAGGCTGGCTTCCTGAGACCCAGTGAGGTTAACGCTACCAGCTGGGGCCTCTCTTTCTGAAGAATCACTGCAGTCATCAAAGGAAGATGTTGCACTTTCAAATGAACATTCTATCATAGGCCAAATGTTAGTAGTTAAACACCAGCGTCACAGAAACACACAAAGTGACAGTCAAGTTCACAAACACAGCTGTTAGTTAAGAAATTTCTAATGAAGGAAAGAAATCTGCTATTAGCTCCAAGCCATTCATCAAGACTTTTAATACACTTAGATTGGGACTGTTAGAGAGAATAAAATAACTATTGGCCTCACTTTTCTCTCCCCAATCTAAGACTAAACATTTGTTAGAATACCCACTGGAAATTGAAAAAAAAATCACACATAATGTTCTCGCGGGTTAATGTAGATTTTCTCAGGGTCGGTAGTTAGATGTTTGCCAGTGCTCGGCTCTTCGTAGCACATCTGATTGTAAAGGGGGTACATCTGCGGAATTCCATCTTCTCCCACTGAGTTCTCATCTTCATAGTCAAATCTCTTGCTACTTAGTCCATTCTGAAAATTCAAACGTTGCTTACATTAGCAGAGCAGCTATTTGCATTTTTCAGCACTGTGGTAAAACAGAATTCATTAAAGTTTGTGTCCCTGATTTATTACCCCCCAAAGGAATTGAATAGCAAGATAAAGTTCAACAACTTATCATTTCCAGTTATTTGTTACTCAGTAATTGAGTGAGAATGGTAATGGCCTTTAAATACAAAACTGCAACTAATGGGAACCGTGGTCAATTTCAGGTTTTGGAATTTGCACTTGGTATCAGCTAAGGTAAACTGGAGAAAAACAAGGCTGTGAACTTCAGAAATCTCTCAAGACCCAAGACTGAGCTGAATATGTGAGATATACAGGGAATTAAGCAAACACAAGCAAAGAACAACAACAACAAAAACAAAACCCCCTCAAGCTTCGGCACTGTGGAATTACAGAAAGGACAGCAAAACGAACTGGCATGTGTCCATATATATATATACCTGACAAAACTCAAAACTGAGAATAAGAAATACTGCCTAAATATTCTCTTATCTTGGCTTTTTTTTTCTGGCTTGATTTTGGGCCACAGCTGACACTTATTGTAGAGTTAATTCCCACTGATGCTCTGTAGTATCTCTGGTATAGACCCCTCTTCCTGGTTATTGGTTTCATAAAAGTTGGTTACTTCTGAGATTTCTTAGACATAAGAGTAAGCAAGCTCAAGGACTTTATCAAATGATAACACACTAAAACAGGAGTAAGTTATCTAAAATGAGGTTTTATCTAATGATTTTTTTTTTTTGGTACCAGGGATCAAACTCAGGACCTTGCACTTGTGAGGCAGTTGGCAGAACCACTAAGCTAAATCCCTGGCCCTCTAATGATGTTTAAATGAGCATGCTAACCCACAGCTCCTCCTGGGCTGATACAATGTGACCATGTTACTTACAAAGGGCAGAAGATTGCCAACATCTCTTTCTTTGAATTCAGTTTGTAGAGGCAAGTGTTCCGTCTGGTAGGCGACATAAAAAGACAAGTAGTTTAAACCACCAAGCACATGGTGAGACATAACAACCAACACCAGCAAGACTCCTGTTCTTTTTTTTCTTTTTTGGTACCAGGATCAAACTTGGGTCCTTATGCTTGTGAGGCAAGCACCAGAACCACTGAGGTAAATCCCTGGCCCCAGACTCCTGTTCTTAAAAGACCTAATCATATTGTGTTAAATGTCTACTGATTAAAGAAACTGATATTCCTTCTCTCTCACCCCATGTCTTCCTGTTTGTCTGGCTGTTTTTCCCCTTCTCTTTCTCCATCCCTTCCTCCCTCTCTGTATTTCCCTTTCTTGGTTCTAGATGTCTTTCAGCAAAAAAAAAATACACAGCACATCTGCTGCAGAAGGTCTCGTGAAAAGTTGTTTATATGCTGAGAGCTCAACACAGAAAGTCTTCCACCTTTTTTCAGTGTAATAAGGGAAGAGTAATTGGGGGTGGACATTTATATGATCACTCTAATCTTCCTGCTTGTTACTCTCTCATCCCCAGCCACCCCGCAACAGACAATAAGGAGATTCACCACTTTCTAACTTCAGAAGGATCTTTCTCAACTTCTGTCTGCCTTTCAAACACATACTTTAAACACTTCAGATCTCAACTTCAAATACGGTATCTTTTGGGATGCCTTGTACACCCTCAGGCAGAGGCCACTTTTGTACTATTATCCCAATTATTTCTTTGTGTACTTGTCTCCCTTACTAGACTGAGAGTTTTGTTTAGAATACTTACACATATTACTTCATTTAATCCTTATAAATAATTCTACAAAACTGGGATCTCCTATTTACTAGTGACAAAATCTGAGTTTCACAGCTCGTAAGTTAATAATTATGCTTCAAACATGGATTTGCTGATTCCAAATCCTTGCTTCTAGCTCAGTGCCTAAACAATAGGTGTTCAGTGAACGTAATGCATGAATGAAAAGTATGCCTGAATGTTCCAGTGTGAGGGCACATCTGTCCATATGCTTTGCATTTCACTGTCTCCGGCCCTCCCTTTGGTCTGGAAGTCTTGCCCTTTAAACTCTGAGTCGAAATACTAGACATCCATCATGGCCTGATCAAAGTCATCTTCTTACCAGAATGGCTCTCCACATTACAATCTCTTACTTGGAGTTTTCCTACTGCTCTTAGTTGTTCTCTATTATAGTACACATCATAGTGTGTCTTGTTTTATAGCCACTACGGTCAATATTTTCCAACTCCAGCAAATAGTAAGCTTTAGTTATTACTGAGACCTGAATGTTTGTGGCACCTAAATTTGTGTGTTGAGTCCTAATCTCCCGTGTGATGACACTGGGAGGTAAGACTAGGGGCCGGGTTAGGGCACGAGGGGAGGACCCTCATGAATGGGATTCATTCCCTTGTACGGACTAAAGAGATCAAGACTTCCCTTTCTACCATGGGAAGCTGCAAGAGAAACTGTCATCCTAAGAAGATGTCTCGCCAGCCACTGAATCTGCCAGCTCCTTGATCTCAACATCCACAATGAAAACAAATATAAGTAAACCAGTTTATATATAGTACTTTGTTATAGCAGCTCAAGTGGATTAAGCCAGGTGCAGTACCCATAAACTGGCCTGAGGTTCTACAGTTACAAGTCAGCAGTTAATGAGTTGATTAGAATTTAAATTATCATCAATTCTTGATATCCTATGTGACAAGTTATTCATATGACAAATTGTCTGTGACAGTTTTCCAGTTCCTGCCATATTCAGCATAATTTTAAGGTACTTTTCACATGACCAGTCAACTTCTTTGGCATCCTGGTGCTTGGGGCTTACTTGGCACCCCTCTTTAGAAGTGGCTCCCAGCTTCCATCACAACAAGGGCTAAAGTGCTGGTTCTGGGAAGGCTAGGGGCAGGAGTGCATGCCCTGCTGGAATTGTGTGCATCGGGCAGGTGCATGGAGGCCACATTCCAGGAGAGGCAAGCCTCCTACTCATCCCAGGCAAGGCACCTAAAATCTCCATTGACATTCGGTTTGTTTTTGTTTTTGTTTTTGGTACTGGGGATCAAACTCAGGACCTTGCACTTTTGAGGCAGGCATGCTGCCACTGAACTAAATCCTTGGCCCGATATTCTCAATTTTTGAACAAGGGGTCTTTGCATTTTCACTTTGGGCTAGGTCACACACATTATGTAGCTGGTCCTAGTTCAAGAGAAGTACCTGGAAGACATACCTTAAATTAGAATTAGCATTTTCTTTCTTTTCTTTGCTGTTGTAGATTGTCCTTTTAGTTGCTTCCTTTCTACTTTAATATGGATAATTAAGATTCTGTATCACTCATTGCTGAGTCTAATTTGCTAAGAGGCATAGAAGCTGTAAGCTTCTTTGTAGAGAGGGTGAGTATGGGTTTTCTAAGCCACTGGAGCTAATCCATTCTTTCTGAAGTGGTATCTGGATACCTTTAACAAAGATCTCTTATTTACAAACTCATTCTCCCATTTCAAATATCTTTTGTATTGCAACAATGAAACCTAAATCCATTTGTGTTGATTTTTATAAGATCAAGTCAGTAAAGGCCATCATAACCACTACCACATTTATGAGCTCAAAGGAACCTCTGACAAAGTCAGGCCACAATCTAATCTGTTCACTGTTTTCTTCTGAATTCCCACATGTCTCATAGTCTGGCTTAATTTACAACTCTGACATTTTTGTAGAAGAGAAAAGCAACTTAAATGATGATACTTGAAGCAACCTCAGCTTCAAAAAAAAATATATATATATACATATATCATATGTACCAAATGGAGGGCAACAAAAGATTTTTGATGGTTGGTTGTTTCTGGTCCATATTTAATGGACCAGATGTAGGAAAGATAACAGAAATTGGAAAGGCAATCTTTTTTTAAAAAAAATTTTGATATAGAATCTCCACTGTGTAGTTCAGGGCAGCCTTGGACTCACTATGTAGCCCATGCTGGCCTTGAACTTGTGGCAATCCTCCTGCCTCAACGTCCAATTGCAGGGATTACAGGTGTGCACCATCATGGTTGGCTGGAACAGCAATGTTGAACAACCTGTGATGGCAATGATAAAAGCTGTCCACCATGTGGCCCTTGCTTATCTCTCCCCATCAGTGGCAGTGTGTGTGGACAGCAGTGGTATAGTCAGCCCTAAAAGAGAGCCATATTCTAGGAATGAAGAGATTATGGGCTCAAGAGTTCAAAGAAACATGAGCGTGGAAGACATGCCCTTTCAAGTTTACTCTACAAAATTCCAAATCTTAAATTTAATATGATTAGAAAATTATTTATCGTTCACCTCTTCCCAAACATTTGGTTATCATCAGTGAAACATGGTAGCAATCTTTAAGTCCTTGGTAGCCATGATACAGGGCCACAAGTAGCTAACTTGTTAAACTGATTATATTATAGAAGTGCAAAGGCTTCCCACATTTATTTTGTTTCAACACAGATGCCAATGAGCCTTGGACTTTATGAATAACAATAGAATTGTTTTTTCTCATCGTTGGAGGAAAGGAAGGAAAAAAGAAGAAAGGAAGGAAGAAAGGGAGGGAAAGAGGAAGGGAGAGAGGAAGAGCACAGAGAGAAAGGGAGGAAGGAAGAAAGGAAGGAAGGAAAATATATTCAGGCATGGTGGTGTCACAAGTGTAAGCTTAGCACTCTGGGAGGCTGAGGCAGGAGAATTGCAAGATTGAGTGTGGGCAATTTAATAACTTAGCAAGACCCTATCAAGAGAATGAAGAAAGAAGAGGGGGAAGAAGAAAGAGGAAGAGGAGAAAGGGGATAATGATGATGAGGAGGAGGAAGAGCAGGAGAGGAGGACTTGCCAGAAGAGCCAGAAGTGGTACTTTGACAATAAGGGACAAGAGAGCTTTTAGACCTACAATCTTTATGTACACTAACTGGACTATAAGTAGGTAAACCCCCTTCCTCCATCTTCTCTTCTAGATCTTCATCATTAAATCACTACACCTTCTAGTAGTCTATACATTATACAATGTTAAAATGAAATGTTGAAATTTACTAGCTTTTCTTTGTAATAAACATACGTCTTTAGTATTGTTTTAGGTTCATAGAAAAGCTGAGCAGAAAATACGAAGAGTTTTACCTGCCATCCCTATCCTGTCCAACACACACACACACACACACACACACACACACACACACACACACCCCTCCACCATCAACACCTGGTATCACAGGTTGCATGTGCTGCAAATGAATCTTTCCATAAGGCATCATCACACAAGTTCAGGTTACATTGCAGTTTGTTCCTGATGTTCCACCCTGTATCAGTTTTAACAAATGTAAAAGCATGTGGATCCACCACTATAGTATCATATAGAAGTTTCCACAAGGTGAAACAGGAAGAAAAGGTCCAAAAGGAAAGGGGAAGTGGGAAGTGTACAGGAAAGGAGAGAAGGGAAAGGAATGAGTATGAGAAAAGAAAGAAATGAAAACAAAGTCTTTGTAAATAGGGAGGATTGGAGGAGTTGAAGGGAGGGCAGGGGAATGGGGAAAAAACAAGAACAAGATATATTATGTAAAAGTAGAAATTCCCAATGATGAATGTCACCATAATGTATACCTAAAATGTACCAATAAAAGTAATAAATAAAATTTTAAAACCCATGCACCACCTATTTCATCCCTTCCCACCCAACCCCAGGAAACCATTGCGTTTTACTCTCTCCATAGTTTTGCCTTTGCCAGAATGCAACCTAAATTGAGTCACTCAGTTTGTACCCTTTCACATTGGCTTCTTTAGTAACACATTATGTAAGTGACCCACTTTTCATGGCTTCATAGTCTATCTGTTAGCTGCATGTATCACAGTTTATTTATCCATCTACCTCTTGAAGCTCATCTTGGCTGCATCCAATGTTTGGCAATTATAAATAAAGGAGCTATAAACATCTGTGTGCAGATTTTATGTGGACGTAGGTTTTCAATTAATTTGTATAAGTATCAAAGTGTGACTGCTG